GTTAGGTTACGTTACGTTACGTACGTACGTCGTACGAGAGTAGTAGTAGGTAGTAGTCGTACCTTACCCCCTTCCCCCCTCCCCCTCCCTCCTCTCTCTCTCTCTATATATATATATATATATATATATATATATATATAAGTTGAAGTTAGCTCACTAATTAACGATTACAGTATTAGTTCAACGGTTGAACCGATCTGACGGTTAGGACCTAATTTTGTAATATAATTTAATATGCTTTTACAAATCCTAATCACATGAAATTTTAAACGTTCATTCTTCTCATTAAGGCGCATCTAATAAATTATTAAAAAATAATTTGTAAAATATAAATAGACTAAAATCTCTTATTTTAATTTTTATTAAAACATAATTCATAAAAAATATATATAATTTATCTAATATTTTCTCATATCTCCTTAAATCCCCACCCATAAACCCCTATTTTAGTTTTTATTTTATTTATTTATTTTGATTCACCAATCTAGACCCAACACAAATCGCCGATCCAACTTTCCAACCCAGATCTACGGGTCAACGATTTGCCCCACCTATCCAGGTCTTGAAACATTGGATAAGACTAAACTTGTTTTTGCCTCACTTAAAGAAATATGATGTCCTCGCCGTAGGAAGAGTAGAATTACTACAAAATCGAATTTTGACCATAAAGAAGACTTAATGAGGACTATAGGATGGATCCACATCCAAGATATGTGATCAAATGATTAAAGTCCAAATTTTGTAATTTGGCTTTGTAGGACCCTTAAGCCAACATTCAAGACCTGTGATCCACTAGTTGAAGCCTAATTTGGCTTTATAGGGCACTAAAGCCAACATCCAAAGGCATGTGACCCAATGGAGGCCACCCATGTTTATTGTGGCATTCTTAAAACTTGTCATGTATACTCTTTTAAACGTGTCTCCAGATCTCAATAGTGGAATATAGATGAATTATTGGAATAGTAAGCGAAAAAGTTTATATTAGTTCGAGACTTTAAAAAATAAAATTTAGGGCACACTTTAAAAATTTTATTAGAAGATGTTGTTTTGATACCCAAATATCGTCAAATTGATCATCTCGACTTCAAGATACATAGACATAAGAAAAAATAGATTTCAAATTCTGGACATCGTGCATCTTGTAATGCATTTAAAGCATCCATCTTAAAGATAGATGCAAATGGGTGATCCATCTAAAAACAAATTGAAACTAACGGTCCAAATGTTTTTCATAAAATTATTATTTTTATTTTAAAAATTTATTTATATTTTTATATTCATGATCTACAAGTTAGCGATTACATGTCCTTAAAAATTGGGTCCGAAAATCTATCTCAAAAATACATTTTTAAGAGTGACTCATCTCTACATGGACTTTTAAAAACCGTGTCGATTCTACACCTTTTTCTATTTGAAAAGTTGAGGGAGTTCATAGATAATACTAATAGGTTTATTATACAAGTAATAAGCTTTATATATAGTATGATAACCATTTATGAATATCTATATATGCATAAACATTATATCTGACAATTCTACTGTTGTTCTTTGTTCCACTTGGAAAAACTGGATAAAATCAAAGAAAACTCTTTCATGCTAGTTGGAATGCATTTCTACAATATGCAGTCCAAAGGTATAAAACATCCATTTTAAAGATGGATGCAAATAGGTGGTCCATCTAAAAACAAATGTAACTAACAGTCTAAATATTTTCTTAATATAATTATTATTTTTAGTTTTCAATTTTTTTTTTCATATTCATGATCTCCATGTTAAATATTATATATTCTCTAAAAATTAGAGCTAAAATATGTTTAAAAGTATATTTATTGCCAAACCCGCATTTCTACAATATGCGGTTTGGCTGCATAAAAACCCTGTCCTAAAATCAATCATACTTTCCCCCCCTAAAGATTTATTTAGCTTTTCAAGAGAAATATGAAAAAGTAGGAGAAAAGTTTCAATACTTCCCCCACAGCATAGAAGATCTTTCTTGCTTCCCAACCATCGAGCCGTTCAATTTTGATCAAGAGAGCCACTCACCGTTTGATTTTGATCCGACATCTCAAAGTATTTTATTTTTAGTTTTTTATAAAAAATTTATGACTATTAAATTTGGTACATGCCATTTTCTCATTGGGGCGTACCTATAAAAAATATTAAAAATAATTGATCGATAAATATAATGACCAAAATACCCTTTAAAACTTTCAAAGGTATTTTGGGCATTTTATTTTATTGAAAATATTGTTTTATATTTCTCGCTAGTGCAAGTTTAATAGATGGACGTCCAAAAATTGGTGTCAAAATAATTTATAGAAAAAAAATACAAATAAAATAATTAAAAAACGTGGCATTGTAATTGAGGCAAGCTTAACTCGCCGTTCAAAATGGATGGTTGGATAAGGGAAAGTATGTAAGTTTTATGTTATAGAGGAAACATAGAAAACCTGCCCTTGGATAAGATAGGGGAGATTCTAAAACAATTGTGTCCCCCGAAAGTATCAAACATCCATGTTTAATACGGATTTAAAAAATGGTGGTCCTCCTCAAAACAAAAATGGAGTTAAAAAATAATAATTTTAAATATCTAAAGTTATTTTTTAAAAAATAGTATTTATTGTGGCTGAGATTCTCAACCCATGACACTTTGGATCCAAAATCTGTCTCTAAAATAGATTTTACAAAGAGATATTTTAATGATGAGTTAGCTGACTGATAATCCATCTCTAAGAAGTGATTTTCCTTAAAAAATTTAAACTACAGTTAAATATACAAAATTTACAAAAAAAAAATAAAAATTTCAGCTATATCAAGGAAAATAGAGTTTTTTTTCATCTAATTTGGAAGGCACGCCAGATATTATAAACAACTATTCCAACGTACTCTTTAAAGTTGTCGTCTTGTTAGACCCCAATCTTCAGAAATCTCGAGTGAAAGATACTTTTTTTAACCGGTTTCAGCCGTTGTTGTTAGGGGTATAATAGTAATTTTTCCAAAAGCGATGAAAATGAAGGGAGACGTTACCCATGAGAAAAGCGTGCCGACGCTTTGTTTAAGGGAAAACACTCATCCACAGTCCGTTCTCAAGATGAACGCTAGAGATGATCCTCTCAATAACGAAGCTCATGGGGACCGTTCATCTTAGGAAATGAACCGTGATGAATGCCTGCTTTTGTTTACCTTAGTAGTCACTTTTGCTTCGTATCCGTATTTATGGATAGCATGCAGTTTCTATACGGCATAGGCTTTATGAGGACCAAGTAAAAGTTGCCCTTTGAATCCTAATAAGTCAGAAAGCACTTTGGTATCAAAAATCTCCATAATGATTTTAAAATCAATTTTCAACTTAAATGGCGAAATTTAAAATTAAAAAAAATTTATAAATCTTGTAAATACGTGACTACTTATTTGTAGGCGAAAAAGAGTCTAAATAATATGATACAATTTATACCATTTTAAGGGCTTAAAATCATTTTTTTGTCTTGCAACCTTAACAATTTGAAAGGTATTCTTTCGAGGGGAGGTCTTACTTTTTTTTTTTTTTATAGGAGTGCAACCCTATCAATACTTTCCTCTCATATATGAGTTTTATAATTATTAACAAATGCACATGCAATAATGGGCACATGAGAGTAACATCAACCACGAATAATTGACGCAAACAATTAATATTTAACGCATATGAATTAATAACCAATACCAAAATACTAACAATAAGACCTACGTTAAAAATAAAAAAATTTTCACTAAACAAACTACAACATATGAATCAGACTAACCATGCATTATAAGTGTGATAAAAGCAAAAAAAAATCCAAAGGTTGAACTTGGAATTTAATGATGAATCCCATGGAAAACAAATTGATAATAAATTTAAGCAAATGTTAACTACTTTATTATTATATAATTATCATTAGAATAATGATTTGATTATTGAGATGAAGTGTGTATTCAAAATTTTGGATCATACAAATATCAAAAATATGGGCCATTGGGCTCATTTTTTTTTTGCGAGCCCACTTACAAAAGCATTTTCCATATATATATATATAAACTATGTGCTTGTAAAATGGAGAAAGAGCTGGTAAACTATGTGCTTGTAAAATGGAGAAAGAGCTTACCAGCTGTTCCCTCTCTTTGGTGTAAGAATTTGATGAGGTATTTGGCGATGTGAATACGAGTGTGGCACAAATCTCCTTGTTAAGAGAAGGCGTCCGGAGCCTCAAATGAGTTGTTGTGAGTCGGCCTTTGTCAAAGGTTAATGCACTCTGGCCCCCTCCTTTGCACCCTGGAACCATGCTCAGAGCAATGGCCATGATGAGAGAGAAAGAGAGTGTAGAGAGAGAAAGAGAAGTGGGGAAAGGAAACGAGTGTATAGGATGCTCAAATGAGAGGAAACTAGTGTAGAGAGAGAAAGACTTGTACTGAGACGAGTGAGAGGAAATGTGTGGTTTTGAGAGGATAGAGTAGAGAGAGAAAGAGCTGACCAGATGTAAGTGAAGAGTAGAGTAGAGAGAGAGTTGAACAAATAATAGTGAGGGGAGAAACTAGTGTAGAGAGAGAAAGGGGGTGGTGGTGCTAAACTAGAGTGAGAAAATAGAAGAAGAGTGAGAAAGTGAGGAAACTAGAGTGAGAAAGTAGAAGGAGAAGAGTTAGAAAGTGAAGAGAGAGAGTGAGGAAGCTAGAGTGAGAAGGTTAAGAGAGAGAGTGAGGGAACTAAAGCGAGAAAGTGAAGAGAGAGAAAGTGAGGGCAAAGAGGAAAGAGTGAAGAGGTGGGGTGAGAAGGAGAAGGGGCTATTTGACCTTCTTATAATAAGGCGAGTCCCAGCTCCATACCCTAGATGAACCGTACGTTTACAATTGGACACGAAACGGTAATCGGACGGTCGAGATCGCTTCCGTGGAAGCTGGTACTCCCTTGATTGGGCACACCCACGGGGCTTGTTTCATAGCGTACGGTGCGCCACTGTCCAGATAAACGGGTCGTTAGGTGACAAAAAGTACACCTATGGATTTGAGCTCTGCCGTCGGTTGACGATGGTCCACGTGTCATGGGTCCCACCCATGTGTGGGTGATTAAATGACTTTAAAAAGGGACCCGGGAAGCAAGATGGCCCATTGAGTACGGTGGTCCTCTTGGCGTTAAAAAGGATAAAAGTTTATATAGAGCCGAGTCTCTAAACAATCAAATTAGAGCCTACCTCAAATATTTCACTAGAAGAGGTTCTTTTGATGCCTAAATATCCTCCAATTGATCATCTCGACATCAAAACACATAAACATGAGAAAGAGATGGATTTCAAGGTTTGGAAATAGTGTATATCTTGTAACACATTGTTTAACCGTCAATTTTCAATATTTTAAAGATTTGACCTATCTAATCTATTTTTCACACTTTAAATTATATAATTAAAAATAAATATATATTTTAAGGCTATCATGAAGGCTTCAAGTATTGAAACCACATTTTTTTATACTATTCGAAGATGCACTCTACTTTGATTAAATAGAGCCTCGGCTCTATACAAATCACATCCTTTTTTAAAATTCACATTAATTTGGCCGCCCATGATTGTAGTAGGTAGTATTGCATCCAATAATTTTAGAGAAGAGGTTAAAATCAGGCCAAAATTTTATGGAAAAAATATATATACTCTCAACTCAAAACTCGTGGAAAATTATAGCTTTGGTGTCGAAAAGCCTTCGATCATCTCGACTGTAATCATTATGGGTGTGAAAAAGAATTAAGTCGATTTTTGAAGCTTTCATGAATTCAAAAGATCTGTCATTTTTTGAGCTACAAAACAAATGGAGCTGGAAATAGATCTTAGAAGCATCTTAGATATTTCTCATACTTAAAATGTTTTCTTGACAAGATTTGCGATGAGGCTTTACATTTTTTCATAAATCCTACCCTCATAAAAATTGCACCCTAATTTTTATGAAAAAATATATAATGAGATCATTTACCTTTGGTACAAGGTGGTCACATTTAATATTGACCATTAGATGTGAAATTGGGTGGCTGCATTTATTTCATTGACGAAGCTCAATGTTCAAAAGATATTTTCTCGAATTTTGTGATACACCCAAGCCATCAAATTTCATATTAGTTGGTTGCTAGTACTTGTGACTTCCATGTACAAAAAGTAAATAATCTCGTTGTATACAATTCTAATTTTTATTCTCCCCCCGCCCCCCCCCCCTCGCATAATCATAGAGGGGAGAAAACATCCTAATCAACTTTAAACGTTTTTAATTTTTGTCTCACTCATATACTTACTGGTAGAATATTTGCACAAGGCTCAAATTTTTTTAATTAAGTATTGATAATCTTGAATGAGCAATGGTATTTATGCAAAACATAAGAGCCCCCAACTAAATTTGGGAATTTAACTTATGCTCTAATCACTGTAACGGTTCTGCCTATTCAAGTTCCTCGACAAGAACATTTTGAGCAGTTTTTAGGATATTGTTTAAAAGGGAAATTGTTTTATGTGGGCTGGACCGCATTTCTACATATGTGATCCAGAAAGTGTAAAACATCTATCTTAAAGATGGATGCAAATAGGTGTTCCATCTAAAAACAATGAAAACTAATGGCCCAAATGTTTTTTTTATTAAAATTATTATTTTTTAAATGTTTGTATTTTTTCATAGTCATGATTTCTATGTTAGAGATCATGTGTCCTTAAAAATTAAGTCTAAAAATTTGTCTCAAAAATAAATTTATTAATAAGCCTGCATTTCTACATATGCGGGCTTGGCCGCATAGAAACTAGATCCTTTTTAAAAAAATGCTTGAGCAAAATAAAAAATTACTTAGGATATTTTGACTCCTATAACGATTTTTTCCGTAAAAAGTTTAACCCCCAAATTATTCTCTCCTTAATTTTGATCTTAAATGTTATTTCACTATTTGTTGGTTGTTTATTAAAACTTCAAAAGTTATGGGCGAGTAAATTATGATAAGGATCTTTAGGGTAGGCAAAAGCCATGTCTCGAAAAACGGGACCACAAGATTTCACGTGAAGAATATTCTAAGTCTGCTCTCTAGGAATCACATATTTTATTTTCTTATGTATCTTGTGATTTTTTGGTGCATAATATCTAGTGACATGATTGTTAGACTCAGGGCAAGTTTTGTTCGTGTGAATGAAATTTTTTTTTCATGTAGTAGGGTGTGGTAATATTCACACCAATTGACTGTTAATTGCTGTGAAAAAAGGATACACAAAGACTAAAGGTGGCAACGGGTCGAGTTTGGGACGTGTCCGGCTAGACTTGGACCCAGATCCCAATGGTATTCCGGTTCATAATTTAGACTAGTAACCGGACCAGTCGGGACCCACATCTACCCATCGGATCTCGGGGTCTGGTCGAATCCATTGCCATCCTATGATTATTAGCATTTTATTTTTGCTCATTTTTGTTACCATCATATACCTATGACTTTGAGTATTGTTTTTTTTGCCAATAATACTGTAAATGTTGCCAATATTGTGACAATATAAATGCCTAGCACATGCCTAAAGACACATGATTGCCATATATTACGGATACGAGTCGGGTCCACCTGGACTCAAACCCGAATAATATTTTGGTCCAAGACCTATACCTACACTTGTGGTCGGGTATACTCGTCGATTCTCAAGTCTAGTCGGGTCTATTACCACCATTAACTGAGACCAATTATTGTAAAAATATTATCACACCTAACCACGCGATGTCCTTTTTTTACGTACAAATATTTTCCAAATAAAATTTCATGCGAAACAGACGTGCCCCCTGAAGTTAATGCTCTAGTAATTGAAGCATTTATTTAAGCTGCAATTCAGTTTTTTTGTTTTTGCAAGGATATTAATTTTTGAGTGATTCCTCTAAATAAGTTTGATTGATTTATTTGTGTCTTGATAAAATAGGTTTCCTGGAATGTGGAGCTATTCAAAATTTAAATGGACGGCCTAGATCTGATTTTATGGTCACAACAGATTGGGTACTGCGCCCTTTTATTTTTACAGAAGAATGTCATTATGAGGCTGATTTATAACTTTTTTTAGCTATTCCCACTTAAACCATTACACAATGCTATACCGTAATGGGGCCATGTTAAAAACCTAGATTGGCAAGGTGATTGGAAAACCAGACTCGGTTGGCAAATTGTTGATCCGGATCAGCAATCCTGCTAAGAGAAACAACCACTAAATAAATAAATCAATCAATTGATAAAAATAAAAATTTAAATAAATAATTAAAAATGGAGCTAGATTGGCCAGTTTATCTGACATAACTCAGCTAGAGAGTTAGTCGGTTTCTAGTGGAACCAGCCGGTTCCTAATGAGAACCACGTGATTCTAGATATATTGAGGGAACCCGACTAGTCCCCTTAAAGGGTATAATTCCAATTCAAATCGACATGTTATAAAAGACGATAGCATCTATGAAGGCCATATTTCTATAGTATATGTAGTGTGGGGGATTTTATTTTCCCACAAAATTGGGAGTACCTAAGGCCTAGGGTTGGAACCCTAGGCCTTACGAGCAGATGCTAAGAAATATAGGCCCTATTCGGGTCCCGATTTATCTCAACCTGGTTTTATAAAACTCGGGTTTCCTTGTACGCTTTCTTTTTCTTGAAAATTTATTAAAACTATCCATAGGAGATGAAATATTCAAAATTTTATTCCTTTTGCAAGTATTCCAACTCATGATTTTATTTTATGGTTTTTGAAAATTAATTAAAAAATAACCTTTATTTTATTTTTCTTTTTGACAAGAAAAATGCATTTGTTGTTGAATTCCCTTTATTTTTTCAAACGCTGTATGCTTTCCTTAGTTATGAGGTTGTGGTTTTCATTCCCACCACTAACACCATCCCACCAATACTTTAAAACAAGCTAACTCTTAATCTACTTGAAAAAACATCTACTTGAAAAACCGGGTAGGGGTCTGCCTTCTCCACTGAATTACCAAAAGAAAAACAGGTAGAGACCTATCTTCCTCATTGAATTACCCAAAAAAAAATACTTATGTGAAAGAATTTTCACATGAAAACTCTCCTACATGATTAGGTGTAAAAGTTTTTCCATACTAATTGACAGCCAATTGGTACAAAAAAATGTACTGATATTAATTGATATAAATAACCCCACATCTAATCAAACGAGAGAATTTTTTCACATATAAATACCAAATATACCCTAAAAATTTTGCCAATTGATCCCCTCGCTTCACTGTGATAAACTTGCAGGCTATCAGATATGGAGGTACCTTTTGGGCTCTTTCCACTAAGGTGCACGGTTTAGACATATCTATAGTTCACTAGTGAGTGAAAAAGACAGATAGAAAGGGTGAGAAGATAGTGGGAAAAAGAGAGATGAATTTTATAAAGGACTGAGAGACATGTCACTTATGGGTTAACATGAGTCATTTTATAGAGAGAGAATGATCCTCATGACTATGAGAGTTCATGATTATGATCTTAGTTATCTTTACAAGCCCCAAAGGACATGATAGTACAATGAGCTCTGTCCTTTAATAACACTCAACATCCACCACCCTATGAACTTATATCTTATCAAGCCCTTTCTTCCAAAACCTGAGGTGCCCATGTCAAAGTAGATAATGACATACGTGCCCTCAAAGTTCGTTAGTTTACTTACAAGGTTCTAATAAGCACCTGGTATGTGCCCATGGTGTACCCTAAGACCACCAAACCTTTCTCCAAAAGAAAATGGTTTGATAGGGC